AGCCATCTCATGTACTGTTCCCTTAACGGCGACGTTTCGCATCCCTAAAACAGAACGAAGTGAACTTTAGTGCAATACACTTAACCGTTAGTAGGCAATCGGATATCATGGCGGTGTCATAAATTGGTGAAAGCCAAGTCAGCCCGTTGTGTCCATGTAGATATTTCGTCAGCCACTGATACATCAGGCTGACTCGACTTCCCAGGTAAATAAAGCGCTCAGCGTACTCAACCACTTGACTCCCTACTGTTAAACAGAGCACCACTGAAGACCAGTCCGGAGATACGGTATGCATCTAGGCAGCGAGAAACACATCCCAAACATTTTCAAATTGCTACTCAAGCTGTCTAGAAGAATCTGAGCCTTCACCTACAAGGACTTAATCATCTGCGTACTCTAGATCTACCGATGGCTTTCCTATGATCAGATCGACCCCTGGGAATTCAGATGACGAGGGAGACTTCCTATATTTACTCCACTTGACAGTTCAATTGCAATCAATCAATTTCCTGCAGTGAGAATAACAAGAAACTACCATTGGCTTTAGGAGTGTACAGAGAATTTGCACTAGGTGATGTCGTGTAAGATGAAGCACGTTTAGAAAATTTAATCTAAATGACACCTATTTGGCACCACACCGAATACAGAACACAGCTTTGTAACCTGACCGTCTGTCATAGACTGACATTAGTAACCAGGAATAAATAACCTACCATAACCTGAAATAAGAAGTCTAGTGTAGTTCGATTTCGCAGTGGATTTCATCTTCCAAAAGGAATCCTGGTGAAGTTTAAATGACATTCAAGAGAGTAAACACTGAAATCCTTACTTACTTTTATTGTCGTATGTATGAAAGGTTGCCTAGTCCTATAGTTTTCTTTTTATTCTTCTCTCTTCCACATATTTACCAACAGACTATCTGATGACAAATCATAACAATTCTGATATTCATTTACTTGAATAGTAATGACCTGTGAAATTGGGTAAAAGTCGGAAGTATTCTATACATGAGATAATCACAACAGATGATTCACCTTTCTAGTTTTATTCCTTGACTTGAATGTGTAATATAACCCTCTCCATCAAGAAGTCTTGACGATTATAATAGTCATTTGAAGTGATTAAACAATTTTAGGTGCTCAGTGTCTTCCCATTCCTCTATTTTACTTAGCCTGAGATGTAACATAATAATAATATCTGAATTCAGCTTCTCAGGAATTTACCTTTTTACAATATTATACTATAAACCTTGAACAACCACGATGTCGAATACAAACAGTGATGTAGCTGAGTACGTTAAGGCGGAAGCCTTGGAGGCCAAAAAGAATGTATTTAATATCTCCCAATCTAAGCAACTCCTGCGGTAACATCTGCACATATTATATATATATATATATATATATATATATATATATATATATATATATATATATATATATATATATATATATATAATATCTCTAGCTTCTCAACTGACGGTAGGAGATATGTAGTCCCAGGTTACTAACAATGAAGGGTCGCTTCGATTCAGTCGAACCTCCTAATTAACTGTCTTAAGGTTGAGGTCTTAGACAAGAAATGCAAATCAGATTATAGGATAGCGAATATGCAGAAAATGAAACAATCGAAACAACTCACGAAACCCTAGTTACCGTTAATCTGGATGTGACCCCGGTAACTGTAGTAAGGTGAAAAAACTACTCGGCTAAAGCATAGCGGCTAAACCAATGAGTGAAATTTCCAACTGGTCCATGGGAGACGAATTTAAACTTCCTGATTTTAATAAGCGAGAAGCTGAAGTTCCCAAACGCGAGGCGATACATCCTAAAACCAACCACAACGGAGTAAATTGATAACTGGCAAACACCCTATTAGTTTATTATTAATCAGTGCTTCACTACAGATGCTGTCACCACTTTGGTAGTTTACTTGTTCTTAAACTTTCTCATGGTAAGCTTCATTGATGAACTGTCTAGTCTGATCCTATGCTGTTCACCACGTAAATTTGGTAATACTGTCACTTTGACATAAAATGGTACTTTCCAGGTTTTGTATTAAAATTAAGTTAGTATACAACTAATTTAGGAGCTGAGTGTAAATATGTGGTTATATGCAGATATGTTTATTACGACTACCAATGTCTATTACCCTTTTCCTATCACTAATTACAAATCCAGTTGATACATAAGACTTTTTTGGCACGTGACCGTATTACACAATACAAAAAATAACTAGTGATTGCTTATGTCCCTTGGGTTCCTAGTGGAACGTAAGGCTTCACTAGCACGTCTCCATTCCACTCTCTTCTCTGCAATCTTTTCAACCTAGCTCCACCACTGCCCACAACTTCTCATTCCTTCCTCACACAATCTCCTCCATGTCACCCTCACCTGGGACACCCAACCCGTCGTTTCCCGTGCGGGTTCAGCTCGAGGGTCTGGTCTAGCGCGTGATGTCTCCGAATGGTCTTCTCAGTGTATGCCTGATCCAATCTACCTCCACTTCCTTCTAGTGCATATTTGTTAAGCGATAGGTTCGTTGCCAGCCAACCAGAGTTCCTTGTTGCTGATTCTTATTATTCTGGCCACGTGAGCTTCACTATCAAGCGAGCGTAGGCAGTTGTTGATGAATGTCTGTAGTTTGTAGGAAATGCTTTTCGTAACGCGCCAAGTTTCTGAACCATATAGAAGCACTTACTTGACGTTGGTGTTGAAAATGCGGATGTTGTTCACGCTTTATGCTGAGTGCAGATCTCCACACTGGTTTCAGGTTAGTGAAGGGAGGCCTGTCATGCCGTCCTTCCGATCCTGGTTTTGACATCCTCGTCTGTAGTTGAAACGATGCTGCCCTACCTAGATAGGTGAAAGAGGCTACTTCCTTTAAGTTTCTCCTGTTGGTGATTGGTGCTTGTTGTTGTTGGCGGTGGTTGAGTATCTTCATTACCTATGTCTTCTCTACGTTCACTTGAAGTCCCGTCTTCGCTGCCTCTTCTGTCAACTTGTTGGATTTTGCCTGTACATCTTCAAGTTTGTACGACTAGAGATTGATATATTCACGTCATTCATTTTTATCAGTACATACATAACGGCTATGCTGAGAAGTTGAACACTCCACATTTCGCTGTAATGGGTGTCAGTTAGTGAGACCATAAATGACGCTTCACACTATTGGGAGCTTAGAGCAAGAGATTACCGCTTTATTATGGCGATAACAAAACCTATGTAGTCAAACCGATAAGGTATCACACTGGTTTATTTACTTTAGTTGAAAACAAAAAATCACACTGCTGTATCTCACTTGAGCCATCAAGACTTGCACAGTCGTACCGCGGCACTGATCTTCCCAATCGCTGCGTTTTACTGCATAATCCCTAGTTCGACAGCTCTTATCCTTGTTTTGTTATGCATAAGAGGCTTGACGACAGATCAAGTAACAGTCATTCAGTTTTTATCAAGTAAAGCCTACGTATGAAATAACACATAGTATCACAGTAAGCAGTCACAATTGTTTTAATAAACGATCATCAACACAATCTGTGGTTAGGCTGATTATACTTTATACCCGAATATATCTAAATAGATGGAATGGAATTCAAATCCGAGACTTACTAGCAGAAAGTTGAGTACCAGTGAAGCACGTGCAGAGCGGTTAACTGATAATCAGCTGATCATAAAATCTAACCATTATCATCTGTAGAATTGTATACAGAATGTTTTCAAGTTTTTCAGCAAGTAAGTAAGATTAAATGCAAGATATGTATATCACTTAATAAAAATACATATTACAGATACACGTACACACACGCAGATGCACTAACAATTGAAATAGTCAAGGAAACGAAAAAGAAAGCATAAATAGTAATTAATACATTTGCATCGTTATTGATGCTCAAAAAGCCAGTTATACAATAAAGTGTTTTATTAAAATTAAAAATAGAAACAAATATTTATAGGTAGATAGGTAAAAGCTTTGAAAAAGACATTGATAACAGTGACCATAATGATGCTAGTAGTAATCGTAGTGATCGCAGTAATGGATCAGGATAATAATAATAGTAGCAGTAATTTTTAGAAAATTAGTAACAATAATTATAAGTCTTGAGAAGTTATGAGAATGGTTTTCAAGCAGAAAATGATTGAGAATGCGATTGATAAAAACAAATAATGTAGATCGAAGGATAGGGTGATGGTTTTAACAGCGTTTCCCAAATTAAACGACTGGTACAAAACAATGCTAGAGATCAATCACATTATGGCATAAAAGTGGAAAAAAAGATACTGAAGTGCAAATCATATATAATAAAGCCAAGTTATTACATAAGATGAAATCATAACGGATTCCACTTGGAGTTTACATACGGTTTGTCCAAGTGACGAAGAACTGGTAAAAGAAACTACACAGTGATCAGTATTTATATCAAAAACGATAAAGAAATAGCCACACACACAAAAATTGACGAGACAAATTTTCTGCAGTAAATAAAACAATGAACAAAAGAGAAATAAAAAAAGGAAATTATTTAGTAAATTGGTTTATTATTTAAATCTTTCATTACCGAAACCGAAAGAAAGTAGATAAACAAATTTCGAGAATTTGTTCCATGGTGAAATATGTAAACATAATAATCAGCTTATACATTCTGTATGTATATGCAAGAGACACGGGTTGCGTTCAACTATAATTTCATTGGGAAAAATGACCGCAATACAACATTCATAATGCATTAAAAAAAAAGCAGAAAATAAAAACTATTTTTTATCGTACACTAACTTTTTTAAACCTAGTAGGAATGTATTATGGACAGGGAAAAAAAAAGTGAGATGAAATGCGAAATCACCTGCATCATGGCAATGGTGGCGGCAATTGAAAAGCATAATTTCTCATTCATTTATGAGTAAATATAATACATACGTGTACATAGAAAATTCATGTACGATTAAACACACAAAAGTAGAATAAAAAAAATTAATCACAAGATCAAAGAGGAATTAAAACAATTATTATAGGATTAGACATTTTCGTTTCGATGTCTTCTGTTTTACCGGTGGCAATTGTTTGTTAATTTGTTTAACAAGATCGATAAAAATCTAAAGAAAACAATATTAAAAAAAAAAGAAAGAATGGATCACATTTAAGAAACCACTTACATTTATGATTTGGTTGAATGTTACCTAACGCCAAGAACACTTAAGAAAAAAAACTCTTCCCTACGAGTACATTTCGCACATCGAAGTTATTATAACTTCACCTGATTATTATTTCACGTTGTTATTCATTGTAGACCGACATCAGTTGGAGGAACAAAGGAAACCTGGGAGCACTGGACAGCTGTTTCGTCCTAGTATGGAACTCCTCAGCAGTGCACACACACGACCTCGCCAGGGATCGAACCGCGACCTCCAAAAGTTGCAAATATGCATCATTGGATTCTGACCCAGTGGCTAACTCAGTGGTAACGTGATGGCCAGGGAACCTGAACGTCGCGGGTTCGATCCCTGGTGATGTGGGGTCGTGGGTGCGCACTGCTGAGGAGTTCCACACTAACACGAAACAGCCAGCTGTCCAGTGCTCCGAGGTTTCCTTTGTTGCTCCAACTGATGTCAGTCTACAACGAATTACAACTTGAAATACTTCCAAATCCCCACAACTCCCTCAAAATTCTATTATTATTATCTTAAGAAGCATGCGATTATGTACATTCAGTTTTAACGTTGAATTTGTACATGATTAGTCTAGAACACACTTGCCCATTCTCGCATACTATTTCCATCTACACGATGAGTCAGACAATTCAGATTTTTCAACCACACAACAGAATAACAAAGTTTGGTGTTTATTGACCGTATAATTATTTTAGGTGATCTGATTCATCTGCATATAGTAATGGTACTAAATTACCTGATCACAATGTATTCTAATTTAGAAAACTGAAACAACCAATTTCAAGCACAAGAAATGGGGTAATGCATAATAATGGATGGATTTCGCTCGACATGCAATTTTTACCGAACTATAAGTCATACATAGATGGATGAGGGATTAATTGAAATCTCTTGAGCCAAACTATACCATTATGTTACCAATTATGTCAAGTTAAGTAAACAAATCTTTAAAATAAGTAGAAATACGACCAATGACCACTTTTTAGTTGATATAACAGTAGCTAGTCGGCGAAAACCCATGTTATTAGTATAAATGCATCAGCTTAATAGCCACATTCTATATCTTGAAGAGTTCACTTAGATATTAATAATCAACTTCAACCCTTTACCAATCTTGAATTCTTCTATTATCTTGATCCTTTTACTTTGGCATTTCATTTTCGACTATAACAATTCGAAGATGACAAGAGCGTGAATATACAAGAGGATGGAAATAATGAGAAAGAAACAAAATAAATGTAAGAACGCTACTGTGATTGATTTTATCTTCCAGAATTTTAGATCATCAGTCATTGGGGTACACACATGGTCGAACCAGAAGCCAGCAGCTTCATGAATCTATCATACCTTAGTTTAAACACCATATTCTTTGTTTTCATTCATTTATATAGTAAACGCACACTGGAAAAATGACAACACATACAATAGTAATTACTGGTGTTTATTATAACTAATCGCGAAGCCAGTATTCCTTCCTAAAATGATATACCATAGTGAAACTATTTCATAGATATACATATAACGTGTTGATGTATTGTGGGAAAGTCTCCAAATTAAATTACACACTTCTATGTGGCGAATGAAAGCACATCATCACATAAACCGTTTCATCGAAGTATAATATATGCGGTTTTTTGAATGAATCTATTAGTTATCACCAATTAAATACGATCACAATCTGTCGGGGCTGTTACAGAACGATGTTTCTATAATATTAAGGTTCTCAGTAATGTGAACCCTCAACCTCTTTAAAAGTGGTAGCAACTATATATTATTATTATAACGAAAACAATACCGAGTATACAGGGTATAAACATCAACTAATTGATGGCGATTCAGTTATGCAACTATAACATGTCCACTAGGTGATCAGAAGGGATTCTTAAGTTTGATCTTGTCATAAAAAACAAAAAGACAACTTTAAATCCAAATAGTAAAAAATTATTGCTTGCATGCTAACGAAGGCCTAGTAACCGTCTAACCGGATGTATGACGTTTGCTGATCAATTTAGAAAAAAATTAGATGTGACATTCACCCTTAAAGTATCGGACTAATTGTTTGAGTCATGTAGGGAAATGTAAAACTCACATCTGAGGTCCACATGACAGATGAATTCAATGATTATAGACTATAGGTGATGTAACTCTGAATCGAATACAACAGAGCTGACACATCCGCACCCTACCTTTATCTTAACCACTACTTGTTCTTTTCATCATATAACTTTTAGTAAGATCCCTTCCTCCTACTTCTCTATATTTCATCTTGATGCCAGTTGTGGCAATTTGGACCATTACACAGTAGCACCAGGTCTCATATTAATATTGACTGAATTCTAACCTTCATCGTCACTCTTAGTTGTACATGTTAATTAGATGACATTTATTTATACTGTTTAGATTTTCATCTACTGTAATCAAAGCGATTGTTTTGTTGAGTGAAATTATACAATACGATATACGAGATGAAATACTATCATCCTGTCAGCTTTTGTGATCGTTACACACTTTTGGTTTCAGGGATTATCATAAATCAAGTTAGTCGATAGTTTCATTCTCATGAACGTTAAGCATTTTGCTTACACAACACTATAGCGTATTTATATTTGCCCTTTGAATCAATCATCATTCAGTTACCGCAGCATAAAATAAACCATAATAACTTTGTAACAGATACGCAGTACAGGGTCATAGATGAATAAAACTAGATTTGCGGACTGTGGAAAACAAGGTTATGCTTTTTTTCCCCCTGGTTTTATGCGGTGATCCAACCAATATATAGCTTTGAAAATGTCGGCATAACCACTGCACTGAAAAGCAGCACAATAACTTTTATGCACAATCCGTGTATAAGCTTAGTAACATGGTGAGAATTTGTTGTCAACTTGGTACGGTTGAAGGTAATCCACTGGTGTTGTATACGGAATTGCGATTGTCAGATTACTATCATGAATTCTATCGTAAAAAAGGGCATGTTACATAATTGGAATGCTAAAAATAACAAATAATTATTAAATTAGGTCATAGGTTTCAAAGTAGGGTTAATGGTCAAGGCCACTACAATTGTTTAAGCAGACACAGACAATGACTAACTCTTATGTTTATAGGTTTAAATTCTATGAAATAACTGAGAAAGCCTAACTGAAATTGATTATGTGACCAGTTGTAAACAAACTTTATGACAGTCAGAGACTGATTCGTGACCGAATCTAATTTATTCATGTGATTTATCAGTCTTTCTGACCATAGCATTAATTACAATAAAATCAGTCTTCAGTCAAATAAATGTGAAGAATGTGAGCTTATGAATTTAACCATCTACAAATATGAGTATATAAGCACATAGACAACTTGACACCTACAACTGAATCATGTCACTACTATTGAAGATGCTTATTTTTGGTGACTGGTAATGGGATCCAGTAAGCGTGTTTCATTCTATGTGGGACTTATCAGTTAAATAAACTTGGACCCCAGTGAGTGATTTTGCTCCCACAGGGACCCGAACCCTGTACCCATCGCTTCGAACGCCAACGCGTTATCCACTAGGCCAGTGGGAACAGCAGAACTCACTGGGGTGCAGGTACATCTAGCTGACAAGTCCCAGACAGGACGAAACGAGCACCCTGGATTCCACTGCTAGTCACCAAGATAAGCATAACACTGAATATCCAGGGAGATCAAGTACATTAGCAAAGGAACACATCTGCCAACGGAGGTCGAGCAATTCGGCCCTGTATAGCAACAGAAAATTACAAGTATCAATAAACTATTGAAAATAGTTAACAAGAAATCTTTTCACAAGCAAAAAACCAAGTTTTTAGTTACTTAGTATGATTTTACTGAAATGTGTGGAATGAGACCTACAAGGGAATGTCACCAGTTTCTTATTGTCTGCTACGCACAATGTGGTTTGTCAGTGATTTTCAATCAAGATATACTTAAACATTTTAAGAACAAAAATGTTACCACTACTTATCTGATCTTTTAAGGAGTTCCATGACAAGTTAGAGCTTGCATAAAATCGAATTTTGTAACCAAAATTGTCCGAATGAATTGTAATCAAATGTAAACTATCTTAGCATAAACATGATAACACTGAGACCTACACAACATGCTACACATTTCATCAGTGTGTCACTACCTAAGTCAATAAAGATTTATAACCACAGTAATGGACTTTTCCAACAACTATATACCTAATCTCTACATCCCTGAAGCAGTGGTCGGATTAAATGCAGACAACGCTTTGAAGACAAATGGTGGAAACGTGCAACCTTCCCAAAAATAGGAACGAATATAAAGGCTCTTGTACATTTACACCTGAATTTATGACGGGATATTGCTGATCATTAACAACTCTCAGTTGATACAGTCATACGGGTAAGCAGAAACTTTAATTTACCAGACGACTTTACATCATGGTATTAGGAATCGGTATGGGTTAACCAAGGAGAATAACCATAATTTAACAGGTGGGAAACGCAAAACGTTCCTAAGCCTAGGGTTCAAGGATTCTTGTGTCAAAATTTGAAGAACGTATGAAATCATCAGCAGAAAAAATATTAAAGGGCAACGATATCAAAGTTGATGATGATCACATGGAAATTAAGTACTGACATAGGCATGAGGGTGGTTGGCAATACTATGCATTGAGAAATGTAATCATGAAGTATCGGATTGTAAGAAAATCCCACATCGATACATTCTGATTGTTAGTCTTGTCAACAACAATGCTCACCGGTTGATGCCCTCCTACCTCTACTGGGATTCAGGGTGTCAAGTTCCACCTATGCTGTAATCTGAATAGTATCACTAATCCTCATCGAACTCTGACTGACAACCATGTATGCGAAGCTACATATAAGTACCAAACCTCAGTTCCCCTGTTTCCGTTTATTAGTCATTACCATTCTGAGATATCT